CTAGGTTTCGGAAAGAGCCACCAATCCTCATCAGTTCCCTTGTTTCTTGTCTGGGATATTCTCCCCAGAAGTTATTTAAAAAAATAACTTCTATGACAAAAAACATTTTTTTACCCAAGTGACGAGATCGTAAGCTCAATAGAAGAGGAACAAAAGAATTACAGAAAACTAAAATTCTTTTGGAAAATCTTCTAAATCTTACAACCGCACTTATAAACATTTACATCTTTCTCCACTTTGTTATGCTTTCGTTCAACCTGAACGAAGTAACATAACCATGTAAGTTTGTTTTGTCTGTTACAACAAAAACCCCTTCGTCGACCGTGCCTGTGTCTATTAATAGAACAGAGTTTGGCTTGCTTGTTTGGGATACCATAGTATTTTGTTGTTGCAAAATCGTCAGGCGAAATCCCATTATTGTTGTTTTTATAAAAACAACGTTTGTTTATGAGTGGAGAACGATGGTAATGTTTACCAGGGGTAAGGCAGGGAATACCTAGGTTTCGGAAAGAGCCACCAATCCTCATCAGTTCCCTTGTTTCTTGTCTGGGATATTCTCCCCAGAAGTTATTTAAAAAAATAACTTCTATGACAAAAAACATTTTTTACCCAAGTGACGAGATCATAAGCTCAATAGAAGAGGAACAAAAGAATTACAGAAAACTAAAATTCTTTTGTCATAGAAGTTATTTTTTTAAATAACTTCTGGGGAGAATATCCCAGACAAGATACAAGGGAACTGATGAGGATTGGTGGCTCTTTCCGAAACCTAGGTATTCCCTGCCTTACCCCTGGTAAACATTACCATCGTTCTCCACTCATAAACAAACGTTGTTTTTATAAAAACAACAATAATGGGATTTCGCCTGACGATTTTGCAACAACAAAATACTATGGTATCCCAAACAAGCAAGCCAAACTCTGTTCTATTAATAGACACAGGCACGGTCGACGAAGGGGTTTTTGTTGTAACAGACAAAACAAACTTACATGGTTATGTTACTTCGTTCAGGTTGAACGAAAGCATAACAAAGTGGAGAAAGATGTAAATGTTTATAAGTACGGTTGTAAGATTTAGAAGATTTTCCAAAAGAATTTTAGTTTTCTGTAATTCTTTTGTTCCTCTTCTATTGAGCTTACGATCTCGTCACTTGGGTAAAAAATGTTTTTTGTCATAGAAGTTATTTTTTTAAATAACTTCTGGGGAGAATATCCCAGACAAGAAACAAGGGAACTGATGAGGATTGGTGGCTCTTTCCGAAACCTAGGTATTCCCTGCCTTACCCCTGGTAAACATTACCATCGTTCTCCACTCATAAACAAACGTTGTTTTTATAAAAACAACAATAATGGGATTTCGCCTGACGATTTTGCAACAACAAAATACTATGGTATCCCAAACAAGCAAGCCAAACTCTGTTCTATTAATAGACACAGGCACGGTCGACGAAGGGGTTTTTGTTGTAACAGACAAAACAAACTTACATGGTTATGTTACTTCGTTCAGGTTGAACGAAAGCATAACAAAGTGGAGAAAGATGTAAATGTTTATAAGTGCGGTTGTAAGATTTAGAAGATTTTCCAAAAGAATTTTAGTTTTCTGTAATTCTTTTGTTCCTCTTCTATTGAGCTTACGATCTCGTCACTTGGGTAAAAAATGTTTTTTGTCATAGAAGTTATTTTTTTAAATAACTTCTGGGGAGAATATCCCAGACAAGAAACAAGGGAACTGATGAGGATTGGTGGCTCTTTCCGAAACCTAGGTATTCCCTGCCTTACCCCTGGTAAACATTACCATCGTTCTCCACTCATAAACAAACGTTGTTTTTATAAAAACAACAATAATGGGATTTCGCCTGACGATTTTGCAACAACAAAATACTATGGTATCCCAAACAAGCAAGCCAAACTCTGTTCTATTAATAGACACAGGCACGGTCGACGAAGGGGTTTTTGTTGTAACAGACAAAACAAACTTACATGGTTATGTTACTTCGTTCAGGTTGAACGAAAGCATAACAAAGTGGAGAAAGATGTAAATGTTTATAAGTGCGGTTGTAAGATTTAGAAGATTTTCCAAAAGAATTTTAGTTTTCTGTAATTCTTTTGTTCCTCTTCTATTGAGCTTACGATCTCGTCACTTGGGTAAAAAATGTTTTTTGTCATAGAAGTTATTTTTTTAAATAACTTCTGGGGAGAATATCCCAGACAAGAAACAAGGGAACTGATGAGGATTGGTGGCTCTTTCCGAAACCTAGGTATTCCCTGCCTTACCCCTGGTAAACATTACCATCGTTCTCCACTCATAAACAAACGTTGTTTTTATAAAAACAACAATAATGGGATTTCGCCTGACGATTTTGCAACAACAAAATACTATGGTATCCCAAACAAGCAAGCCAAACTCTGTTCTATTAATAGACACAGGCACGGTCGACGAAGGGGTTTTTGTTGTAACAGACAAAACAAACTTACATGGTTATGTTACTTCGTTCAGGTTGAACGAAAGCATAACAAAGTGGAGAAAGATGTAAATGTTTATAAGTGCGGTTGTAAGATTTAGAAGATTTTCCAAAAGAATTTTAGTTTTCTGTAATTCTTTTGTTCCTCTTCTATTGAGCTTACGATCTCGTCACTTGGGTAAAAAATGTTTTTTGTCATAGAAGTTATTTTTTTAAATAACTTCTGGGGAGAATATCCCAGACAAGAAACAAGGGAACTGATGAGGATTGGTGGCTCTTTCCGAAACCTAGGTATTCCCTGCCTTACCCCTGGTAAACATTACCATCGTTCTCCACTCATAAACAAACGTTGTTTTTATAAAAACAACAATAATGGGATTTCGCCTGACGATTTTGCAACAACAAAATACTATGGTATCCCAAACAAGCAAGCCAAACTCTGTTCTATTTTTTTTTATATTTGATACCAAGAGAAGCGTTTGATGACTTCTTAATCTCAAAAAGGAGGGTATATTAACTTTGTCATTCCGTTCGTCGTAGAACCCATAAAGTGCATATAATGAATAACTATGTCCGTCTGTCTGTTAAAATCACAATGAGGTATATCGGTTTTGATATATGAGGTATATCGGTTTTGAAAATGAGGTATATCGGTTTTGAAATGAGGTATATCGGTTTTGATATAGCCGCCATATAAGGGTACCACCCGATATTCGTATTTTGATTATTTTTGCCACTTTTTTTCATATATTTGTCTAAAAATTGCTCCGGTGCCGAAACATTGTATTTACAGGTCCACGTTTTTGTATAGCTCTCATGTAACGATACCTCCCCATATTCGGTATTTTGATTATTGTTGCCACATTTTTTCACGGATTTGTCTAAAAATTGGTATTTGTAGTTGGCAAAGGGTCTAGCTCCGGTGGCGGTCCACGTTTTGGTACCTCCCTATGTTCGCTATTTTGACGATTTTCGCCACTTTTTGTCCCGGATTTGTCTACAACTTGGAATTTGTAGGTCATAGCTATAGCTTCGTTAGCGCAACGCTGTATGTATAGGTCCACGTTTTTTCATAGCCCCCATATAATTATACCTCCCGATATTTGACTAAAAATTGGTATTTGTCGACGGAGGCAGAAAATTGAGAATTTAGGTCCAATTTTTCCTATTGCTCACATATAACGATACCCACCGATACTCGGTATTTTGATAATCCTAGTCACATTTACCCACGAAACTGTTTCTAATTTGGTATTTAAGAAGATTTGGCAGATGACAATCCTTGAAGTATAAAATTGTCTATGGAGTTTCCCGTTTTGGTATGGCTTCCATATAACGGCCTAACCCATGATTAACAGCGTTATCCAAAAGGCCTTGTAGTTGTAGTTTAAAGTGGAACACGTTTGAATTCAGACACTTTTATATAAAAATGTTTTCTTTGCCCAATGGTGGAGGGTCGAAAAATACTAATGTGCTAGGACACGTTGTACATAAATTTAGAACACAACGTTCTGAAGACAACCTGCAATTATAAAATAATGCGACAATTATAAAATAATCTATATGGAACAGGATAAAATTACTCTCTTGCGAAGAGACCTAAAAAAAGAAAACAAAAAAAGTTATGATCCATTTCGCCCCCTAAATATTATCCGTTGACCATCCAAATTGCCTGTCTAAACATTTACCCCATGCAAAACCCTCTAAATATTTTCCGATGACCATCCAAAACCCTCTAAATATTTTCCGATGACCATCCAAATTGGTATGCTTCTGTCTGTCTTCAACCTTTACCCCATGCAAAACCAGTTGACCATTTGCAATATCAGGACAATTATCTTTTTGGTCCATTTTAATCCCTAAATAACAATAAATCACAAAAATATATTTCTCATTTTTATTGGCGATTTCTTTTGGATTTTATCAATTTCTTCCAGGAGACCATTCCGAAACGGTATCAATTGTGAAAATCGGTGCAGTCCCCTCCTAAGTTATACGCGTAATAACTAAAAAAACTTTATTTTATATATAAATATTCATTTAAATATATCTCTTTTGTAAACATGTTTATCAATAAAAAATATTTTATACACAACTATTTAAAAATGAAGTGCAACTGTAATTTTATGCCTATGGGAATCCAAATAGAACACTAGAAAAGGAAAATCACCAATTTGAATTTTTTCGCACTAGATTGTTGATTTTTCCCACAGTGGTATTTCAAAAATCCTAGCAGGTCAACAAAGGTGAAAATAGGTAGCCCAATATTTCACGTATTGCATTTGAAGCGGAGTACATGCACTATATTGCTATCTTTAAAACTATATATGTATCGTATAAGATCAGTTGTGTATTTAAAGAATAGTATTATTTATATTGTTGATCAGCCTTTATATAAACAAAATTTTTTTTCATTGTTTTTTCATTTTCATTGTTTTTTACTATTTCCAATATTCTTATATCGAAATTCTCTGTCATACTATAAACAGTCGACGCCGAGTAGAACTTGCTTGGCTAAAAGAGATTATAAAACCTTAGTTTGGTTAAAACACATTTATTTGTAAACAATAAAATCCATTAATTCTAGTAAAACATTTTCTTTACACAGCATTTAAAATTGTAAATCATTCGGCTTGTTCATGCTCAAGACTCCAAACGTACAAAATAATATAATTGTGTATAAAAAGAATTCGTAAATAGTTTCCAGGCGTTGATTAATACGAATAGAATTTAGCAAAAATAATGCAAAAAATTTTTATGAATAAATCAGAAAACAGTTGTATTATGTTATTTCAATATGTGGGCAAATAAGGAATGAAACGAGGGATCAGAGTTTATGTTCATTCACCGTTCTTTGTTTCTAGTATAAAACTAATAATATTTACTGTGGTTGTATGAAGTTAATTCTACCTATATGTACATCATTTCTGCCATGGTCGACATCTTCTTGGGTATGTGGACGAATGTATCAAAATAACAGGCCAGCTCATCAATGGTCACATCGTCGGATGCCGCTGTTGCAGCTGTATTTCCAGCAGCCTGCTGAGAACATGAAGTATGTGAAGAACCACTGCGTTGCATAGTTAAAGGAGGCTGTGACAACGAACCCTGGTGATGTGTTTGGCCATTAGAATCATTGACACAGCCTCCGCTTGCAACATCTGATCTTGTGGTTGAACATTTTTGTTGGTTTTGTGCTACTCTATTCCGGGATTTGTTGCAGGTCTGTGTTTGCATCTTTGTAAAGTTCTTGAAATTTTTGTTGGACAAACTTAGCTTATTCAAGCGACCGCTAAAATCGACGTCCTCTGTCAAAAGACTTCGACATTCTTCGATAAGATCTCGGAAATCGCTAATCCCCTTCGAGGCCATAGGTAAGCGTTCATTGGTTTCAAGACTCTGACTTTGTCCGGCGTGAGGCGTTGGAAGCATTAATTTACGTCGTACACTACTCTGTGGATGCAAACACAGGGACATTGCCCTCAACACGGGTTCACGCAGTATTAGCTTTCTACCGGGATTTCCAGCTGATGACGATATGCATTTTTTAAATGTTGGCTTTTGAACTCCCCCCGAAGCATTTGATGCAATTAAAGATTCTGCTGAACTACTATTAGAACTTGCTGCTATCTTCAGCTCTTCTAGAACATTACTCTCTGATGCTCGTCTAAAGCGACATGTGCGACAAGTTCTTATTCGAGATTCCCTTGGAGATTGTCCTTCGATTGTCCTTTGTGTCGCTTCACTTGTTGTTTTTACTTCCTCGTCGAAGAATGGATTTAAAACCAGAGGAAGATTAGTGTCGAGCAATTTGACCTGGGGTAAGTTCGGTGTGATTTGCAACTTATCCAGTTCTTCTGGCAACTCCTCGTCTGCTGCCATGGCGAAGCGATGTAAAGTCTATTATTACTCTTGTCTTTACGGGTTCTTGTCCGCAAGATATTTCTACTGCAAATATTCTGACAATTTTCTGGTTGTTATACACGCAGTTGGCGTCCTTGAAATTTGTATACAGGAATAGGAACAGTATTTCTTGGCTTCCAGTTTTAAGAACTTGCTTGCTCCTTCACCAAATGCCATTCATCGTGAGAAAATACGCGTAAGTTGGGCTCACAAAACTTCAATTACAAATAATTTAAAGATTTATTTATTTTTTTGCTTTAAAAACACCTTAATATACAATGACTTTTCCTATTTTTGTTAGCTTTTTGTTTTCAACAATATTTTTCCATTAGGGATTTGTAAGTCGACTGTCGAGAAGTCGATATATCAAAAACGATAAACACAACTCACATCAACAGTGACGGAAAATAGTTTAATCGACTTTTACGTCGTGGCCGTTTTTATACTCACCGCCATGCTAAAATAAATGGTGGAAGAATACAGGTAGTCGCATTGACACAGCTGTTGGGACATTGAGTCAAGTTTGAAATTGAATATTAAACAAATGATTGAAATTTATAAATTTATAGAAAAATGCATATCATAAAAGCCTCCAATTGGTGTCGCATAAGAAAACGTTATCTTATAATTAAAAAAAAGGAAAAACATATGACATATCAATGTTCCCAATCATAGTAACATGATTTCAGACCCCCGAAAAAACTAATGGTGAAACTTGCTCTCGTGGGAAAAGAAAAAATAAAACAAGCAAAACTCTATTTTTTGTTTTGCTCAAATAAGGGCGAGCATGCTTTGTTCATTTTATAGAGGAAGCAAAAATTTAGAGAGACAGCAATCCTGCAAGCAATTGTAGCTTGAATAGTTCGAAATCGAGCAGATTCTACCCTTGCCATCTACTCTGTATATTTATACGATTGTATGTACACGATCACACCTACTCTTTCCCTTCTGCCCATTTGTCTTTCGTCCACTTTTCCTTTTCCCCTCTTCTATAGTACACAGCGATTCTTACGCATCAACATCGATTTACTGTTGCACACAAATTCAGTAATTCGTTCGCGAAGAGTCCACTTAAAAATTTTAGTTTCGTTTCAACAGTTCATTTTGGTACTCAATGCACGATTTATTCAGGATACATTTTACGAACAAAACTCCATACACCGCTCTGACTTTTAAACTGCAGCAGTCCTTTATCGGAAAATGATTGTTTTTGCACCAAAAAGTCTTCAAAATCTTTAATTTGGAGTTTATCGAATATAAACCCTTGCGCAATGTTTCACATCAAATTCTGGCCAAAAACAGTTGTTAAAACGTTTTTCTTAACACAAAGTGACTAACGCCATTTCTAAATCCTAGAAAACAACAATAACCTCAATATCAAATTTGAGGATTCAAGCTCTATCCATCCACTAAACGGCAAATTTAGTACTTTTCCAAATATAATATTACGCATTCCTAAACCCACCTCCTTCTCTTAAAACTTTATACAAACAGCTGTATCATATTTCAGAATTCCAGCTATATTCTAAGACAATCCCCAATTTTATTACCATACTTTGCATTCAATTATACTACGCATGCCCAAAACCAACTTCTCTCCACCCTAGACGCCAACCGTGACCACAATAACAACACCCAACGGTACATTTTGTGCAATACACTTTTCGTACGTTCATAGTACGAATTACCAAAACCACCTCCTTCTCTCAGCTACAGACACAAAGAGTGACATCCATATCAAATTTCAGGATTCCATCTCTATCGCTTCACCCAATACCAAAATTTAGTAGCATTTTGTACTTTACAAACAATTATGATACGCATTTTCAAAATAATATCCTGTTCGAAAATTCACCTCTATTCGTTCACCCAATACCAATATAAGTACGAGTTTCCAAAGCTTCCAACATACCCCAATAATATACTCCCAAATTTCATTTCATCGGTTCGGTTCAAATACAAATTGTAGTATTAATTTCCAAAACTTCCTACCTAGCCCACTTCCTACTTACACTCCTGAAAGTTTCACAGAGGGCAGAAGGAACTGCATTCATTCTTTCCAAGGTGGCATTGCAGAAAGGATGGTTTGTGACAACTCTGTTGAGTGTTTTTGTATCGAAAGGGGTAGATGTGGTGTTGTGAAACCATGGTCGTTTGGTGACTTCAGGGAAGATTGTGAAGTAATGAGAGGAGCCGGACAATCCTCTTTCTTTATACTCATTTGCACATTCTATCCACAGGTCGTGGGTTATATGGTTAACTGCGTCAGAGATAGTCAAGGGTGTCTCAATCTGCGAGCCAATTTCTCTCGCCCCTCTTGCGGCTTGATCAACTGTTTCATTAAGTGGGATACTACAGTGCCCCGGAATATGATGCAATTCAATCTCCTCAAAGTGTTCCGAAGCTAGCCAATTAATTCTGTCAAAAAGATAATTTCCCCTCTGATTGTTTTTTATTGCTACAAGACCACTAAGACAGTCACAAAGAATGGCTAATTTTCGAATTTGATTGTTAGCTACATATTCAAGTGCTTTGACTATTGCTATAAGTTCGGCCGACATTGAGGACAATGCCAGGTCCCCGAAATACGAGAACACAATACCAGGGCCTTCATGAATAAAGGCCGAGCCAGAGAAGTCGGAAGAAACGGAACCATCTGTGAAGAAAATTTCAAGACCTTTGTTTTTTAACTGATTTATCTTTTTCATTATATAATTGCCCAATTACCAAAGAATCCGCGTCAGCCTTCTTTGTAACTATTCCCTTGAAAAACACGTCATCAACCACCCATCTTGGTACCCGTTCCTAATGGGTTTTCCCGACTTTATGAAGAATATCTTTGAATCTTGTGTGTACTCTATAAATGCCAGTGTTAATAGGGTGGCACGAGATTCCCGAGGGTATTTACAATAGGTCGCTTATATGCATAGGATTTCACCAATTCTTTTGCTGCCGTGAGACAAAATCTATAATTTGGAGGTAGCTCTGCCGACAACTGGTAGAGACATGGGACCGGCGTTGATCTTATTTAGCCTTTGTCAGCATTGGCAAGAGCCGCAGATGCATATTCTAACTTGGACCTAACACATGCCCTGTAAAGGCGCAGGGATTTTCGTGGATATATGCCCCTGTTACAACCACCTAAGATATTTAAACACCTGTTTTTCTTTTCTACCTCTGAAAGGACATTTTCAACATGTTCCTTTGCGGAGTTATTGGATGCCACAAAGTAAGCTAAGTACTTAATTTTGTTTACCTGCTCAATACCAAGTCCGTTGTGATTAAGATTTAGGTTTCGGACTCTCCTATTAAAATGGACTGTAGACGTTTTACTAATATTAAAGCGAAGGTTAATCTCCCCGCACCGATCAGCGAATTCATTAATCTTCGAACCCAAAGTGCATCTGGCGGACTGGAATATTGGAATAAAATGCAATTATCAGACTGAATAGCATGTAATGAAATTGTGTATGAATTTAAAAGAATTGGGCTTAACGCACTTCCCTGAGCTAGACCACTACTGACGGAGACGACGCGAGAACCTAGGACGAGATTTCTCCTGTGGAGGAAATCTACAATCCACGAGGTAATCGCGCCATTCACCCCCAGGTCATCCAGTTTTGATTTCAATATATCCGCCCTCACGCAGTCATAGGCCTTTTCAACATCGAAAAGAAGTGAGATTGGCCTGTAATTTTCTAACTTAGTGGGGTCCTTTCCCTGTTTTGGGATTGGCGAGATTTTAATATTCCTCCAGTCATCTGGAATTCTGCCACTTGACCAAACACTACACAGGATATCGAAAAAAGCCACAAGCGCCGAGTGAGACAGACTTCTTAAATGCTTATAGGATATTTGATCCAGTCCTGGGGCTGAGTTGGAGCTTCTCGACTGTAAAAAACGTTGAAAGGTTTCAAAAGAGAGAAATGATGGAAAAAGGCGACCTAAAGTCGGAATCCCATGATCCCCCGCCAGGTCCACAGCAGAATCCACATCCGGGGCCAACACAGGTTCCCCAGGAGCATCGTCATCAGAGTTGGCAATATAATTCTCCAGGGACACGACCCTGGAGACCTCCACTGGCGCCCCGTGAGACTGTCCCGCGTCAATCCTGAATCCGCCCAGGACATCGATCCCCCCAGGCCCATCGGACCACATGGAAGCTATACTAAGCTCATCCGTATCAGGTTGGTGTACAGCGGACGTATCCGAGGTGGAGGCAGAAGCCAATAAATCAAGAAATTGTCCTTTTTGATCTTCATCCCATGTATGATTAATACTTTTAGGCTGCTTGTACTTACGTAGATTTCTAATCGTTCTCCAGAAATGCTTGGTGGAAGTACTACTGGAGAGTTCATTGACCACCGATTCAAAATTCTCAATTTTACAATCTTGTACCTTTTTACGAAGTATATCTTCTGCCTCTGTAAAAGTCCTTAAGTCTTGTAGGGTCCTGCTTTTAAAATATTTAGCCTTTGCAGTCTGTCTTAACCTAAACAGCTTTTCTATTTCTTTATTCCACCACATTTTCGGGACATATTTATTCTGTGCATCTATTGGCTTCTGAATCGCAGTGTTTTTTTTTTTAAATCTCACGAACCTTGTCATTGAAATTTTCAATGGAGCCACCTACATCTAATTTAGCCATCTCTTCTAAAACTGCCCATTTCTTCACTCTTTTGGTTGCCCTTGGTGGGATAGGGTTATTACCGAATTCCACAATTACGGGCAAATGATTGCTATTAGTAAGTTTATTCGAAATAACTGACCAAGTGGGTGTTAAATTGAGATTTTTTGCAAACGTTAAGTCCAAGACAGAAGCCTGGAGACGAAAAGTAGGCTCACCATTATTAAGACAATAAAAACCACAAGATGACGCTATATCACCCAATTTAGCTCCTTGGGCGTCCGTGATCGTATCACCCCATTCTACAGATCTGGCATTGAAATCACCCCAACTACTATCGGCAAAGCAATACGTCCAAGATGTGTGAAAAGACTATTAACCATTAACTCAAAAGTACCCCTCTGCGTATTCGGAGGAATGTATACAACGCTAATCTTATTTCCTAATTTGTTGGTTGTCCCAAAACTTAATTGTATTAAATTTAGTACACATAAGTAAGAATTTCCAAAACTACGACCTACAATGCAATAGTAATCTTATTTCCAAAATCCACCATTCTATCTCAATCGGTTCACACAAAGCGAAATTGTACCAAAATTTAGAACCATTTATTACTTTTCGTGCACATAAGTACAAATCAGCCAGTAATGTTCATTTATCCATCCATTCCTCTAAATTCGAATTGTACCAAATTTAGTACCGCTTAGTACTTTTCGTATTCTTGAGTAC